GGGAATGTAAATTGAAACAATGTCTTTGGAAAACAATTTGATGTTATTATGAAGTTGAAGTTATGCATACTCTGATAGCAATTCCATGCCTAGACACACTCATGCACCAGGGAAAATTCAGAGAATATATTAGAAAATGTATATCATTATTCAATGAGGAAAAATATTAGAAGCAACCCAAATTTACATCAATAATATAATAATCTGGCCATATAGTAAAATACTATAGAGCAATGAAAATGAGTATAATAAATAGATTTACATGCACTTCTTAAGGAAAAGAGTAGCAAAAGAATATAGACATTCTGATTCCATTTACATAAAGTTTTGCAACCACATAAACATACTAATTTTTTTTACATTATATTATGGAAACTTTAAACATACACAAAGTAGAGAGACTAGTACAGTGAACCCCTGTGCCCATCTCAACAAGTTATTAGCAGTTTGTTAAAACAAAGGCGGCTGGCCTCATCCCTAGAGATTCTGACTCAGTTAGACCCAAGTGTGTCTACAATGCTTTTCCATAAAGGTCCCAGGTGATGTTGACTCTCCTGGGTCAGGGACCCTCTTCGCCTCTTTTAGGAGGCTCTCAGAATCTGGCCTCTACGTCTCTGGACTTAACCTCAAATAATTTCCTCCTCACTTTATGTTCTAGCTGCATTTCAATTCCTTAAACTTAATATTTGCTTTGATGCCTCAAGGACTTCAAATTTTCCATTCCCTCAGCCTACAACGCTTTTTCTTGCACCTTACTTTGCTGAGCTAACTCTCATCTTCTATGTTGCAGCTTTAATATGGTTCAGGAAAACCTTCCCAACCTATACACCAGGTTTGGTCCCTCTGCTAACTGCTGCCTTCTTTATAACATTTATCACAATTGTAATTGTATAATCATTTGCAAAATTTTTATTACCTAGTTGGGCACAGTGGCACACGCCTGTACTCATAGGCTGAGGCAGGAGCATCAAAAGTTCAGAGCCAGCCTCAGAAATTTAGTGAGGCCTGAAAAACTTAGCAAGACTCTGTCTCAAAATAAAATATTAAAAGGGCTGGGGAGGTTGGGGTCGTGGCTCAGTGGTAGAGTGCTTGTCTAGCACGTGTAAGGCCCTGGGTTCGATCCTCAGCACCACATAAAAATAAATAAATAAAATAAAGGTATTGTGTCCAACTACAACTAAAAAATAAATATTAAAAAAAACAAATTCCCCCTTTAAAATAAAAAAGGGTTGGGAGTCTGGGGATGTGGCTCAGTGGTTAAGTGCCCCTGTGTTCAGTCCCTCGTACAAAAGAAAAAAAAAAATATTGTCTGTATCCCTTACTAGATAAAACTCCATAATCGCAGCGAATTTTTCTGTGTTATGGCTGCTTTTTAAAAATTTCCTTTTTTGCTGCACGGGGGTTCCTCATGCATGCTAAGCAAGTGCTCTGCCATTGAGCTACACTCACAGTCCCTTTGAAATTTTTTATTTTGAGATGGAGTCTGTCTGAGGTGCCCAGGCTGACCTTGAACTTACACTCCTCCTGCCTCAGTCTCCCAGGGATTACAGGTGTGTACTGCCATGTCTGGCATGCTTGCTGCTTTAAATTTAGCACATTCAATAGTACCAGGCACATAAATAGCCACTGGATATTTGTTGGATGAATGAATCTAAATTTTCCCCTAAAGGTAGAAGAATATCCTCTAAATAATATAATATGAAATCCCTCTATGTCATTTAAGATATCCTTTTTCTTCATAACAATTTTGTTTCCTTTTTCTTTCCTTGGCACATAACTTGTAGGAATGTAACTGAAGTAGCAAAAACAAAACACAGTGGCCATCATTATCTATAAAAAGGTAAATTGGTGCTGTCTCAGAAGGTTGTATACAAGCAAACACAGAGTGACCCAGCTGTACATTCCTGGGAAAAGAATTTGGCATCAGGATACAAAAGGGATCATGGCCATTTGCTGTGAATTCTTGCAGACTCTTTCATCTGTGGTTAACGCATGAATGTATTTCATTTTCTAAGACAAGGCCTCTGATGAAACTAAATTCAAAATTAACATGCTTTGAAAAACACTAGCTTCCATCATTCAGGATCCTGCTTCTACTTATAAATCAATCTCTACTCAATTAACTTGGAAATCAACAACAATATAAGCAAAAATGATTTTTCAACTTGCTAAACTAGTGTCACAAGAACATGGGTAAAACACTGATAACACATGGGTTAGCATATGGATAGTTGCCAAGTATACGTATATTTTCTTGCTAAAATAGTAAAACATTAGTGTCCTTATTGACTGTGATTTTTTGTTTGTTTGTTTGGTACTGGGAATTGAACCCAAGTGTGCTTAACCTCTGAGCCACATCCCCAGCCTCTTTTTTATATTTTATTTAGAGACAGAGTGTCACTGAGTTACTTAGGGCCTTGCTAAGTTGAACTTCTGATCCTCCTGCCTCAGCCTTCCAAGTAGCTACGATTACAGGCATGTCTCCCTGTGCCTGGCTTGACTGTGGTATTCTTATTCAACAAATTGAAATGACTCTTCTTAATAATTTAATGATTTTTTATTGTGTGTGTGTGTAAGAGAGAGAGAGAGAGAGAGAGAGAGAGAGAGAGAGAGAGAGAGAGA